CACCTGTGCTATCTGTAGTCTGGAAAATACATCCTTGCCTCTCTCCACGTGACTTTGTTAAAATTGCCCTTTTCAACACAGCCAGGCTGGGTCACCTGTGGTGGTGCACACACTCAGTTTTCTACCTCCATACAGGTCTTAAATTAAATCCAAAGTATGAGGAAGAATCCTGACACTGAAAATGTCAGTGGGGTTCCTGCGTCCTTGGGGCAAGCAGGTGTGAATTTATGTACCTGTGCATCCTCTGGGAGAAGAAAATTAAAGTGTGTCATTGCTCTATTTTCCTGAACTGCACCAGGTTATCTGATAATATTGCATCTGGCAGAGGCGTGAGTCAGAAGAAGAGAGAAAGATCTTTGTTTTGCACTTGGATACAAACTTGTCTGAAAAACTGCACGTTTCCAAGTCATGCTGTGGATTGCAGAAATAAGGTGACATCTAGATCCAGAAACATTAAAAATTGGATTAAAAATCCAGTCTGGATTAAAAATATTCCAGACTCTTTCCCCACCCATTAAATAAGGACACCTAACACACTGGTCTATTGTGCCAGTTTTGGAATACTTTCATTAGGATTCAGCTGCAGTGCAAAGACAATGCACTAACTTTAGCTGAGCCTCAGCCATTAAGCACATATTTCTATTTTCCATAGCTGTGTCTGACATAAAAATTTAATTATTTTGCCCCTGTGTGTTGGAAGCAGCAGGAATTAGTGTATAGATAGCACACCTGGTAAAGCAAAATAAGTAAAAAATAAGGGCTAAAATTACTACACCAAGAATTTTAGGTATTGAGGGTTGGGAAGAAATCCTAACTATTATGGATCAAATAATCTCACAGCTTTCAGAGAACTCTTTCCAACAGAGCACATGAATACTTAGAGTCTGTGTTTTCTAAGAGAAAATGAGTGACATTATTCCCATGTTACCAAGGGGAAAAACAAGAGCAAAAGCGCTTCACATTGCCAAGGCATGGCACATGCCTGTGGTGGGGACAGGGACAGCAGCCATCCAACTCCTGTTTTGGTTTGCAGCTTTAATGTCCAGGAAAACACATTTCAGGCCTGAAGTCAGCAAGTGAGATAGAAATCGGGGGAAATTGTAACAGCTGATCATCTTTTTAGAGACTAATACTGGGATAATGTTAACTTCTCTTACTGTTTAATTGACCTAAGAGATTCATTATGAAACTATCCTCAGCACCTTTATCTATTTTGAAAATTATTTTCTTAAATTCATTTTGAGAAGACTGCAGAGAAGGGTACTTCTTTACTCATATAATTTCTGATTAAATAAAAGCTACAAGCAAATTGCTTTCAGTTTTACTCTTTGTATATAATCTTAATACATTACTGACTCAGAAAATTTAATTTCTTTTAATGATAGTTGTAGTAAGCTGAAACTTGCTAAGCACAAGCTACTGAACTGAAATCTTGATAGCCAGGTAGCTGAAGTGCAGTTCTGAGCATGGAAAGTTCAGAGGATTTCTTTATTTTATTAGAGCCATGTAAGTAACACTAGATACATAGACAGGTAAATGCATGATACCTAGGCTTAAATTTTCTTTAAAAATTGGTAATGAAACAACAGGAACTTAGACTGAGATTGTACATGAGGAATTTGTTATGACAGGCAAATGGTCTGAGGCAAAAGCACTTAAAGTAGTACTTGATTATGCTTAAAGAAAATGTGCTTTTCCTTCTGCTGATAACTATGCACCAAGACCAAAACCAATGCTTCAACTCTTCAGTTACTTTTTGCTAATCAATGCTTTTCTAGATCAATACTTTCTAAAAATTTTATCTATACACACACACACACACACATTGAAAGGCTTAATTACTAACCCTAAACCAAAATTTTAAAAGAAAATTGCCTCATCTGATGCTGTTGAGCCACACTAACTTTGGTTTAAACCTATTATAAAATCAACTGAGTGACATTTCATTGCAGGTTACTTAAGATCAAATTTATTTGATCAAAAATGGTTTCTTTAAATGCTCTTTTCCATGAGAATACCTGGCACTGCATGTCACCTAGGAATACAGATATTTAAAAAGACAAATCTGTTACTGTCATTGCATCCACCCAGAAGTTAAAAGTCTAGCAATAATGAGAAACAGAAAACATTGGTCTAAAATTTATGGCCACTCTCTAAGTAAATAATTTTATGTGTGTTTACTTAAAGATTATCTTTGAGTAATTTTGACCACTCACGTAGCTTTCATTAATAGCAAAAATCAAAAGATGGCTTTATCGGAATAATAGTAACACTTTACCTTTTTTTGTTAAGATCAAGCCACATAAAAATTAAGGGGCACAATGAACATACTAGGAATGTCCTTTGTTTATTACTACCCCTGCCTAAATACAGCAATACCAAGACCTCTTCAAATATGTCTGAAAAAGCAGATAATTAACACAATAAAGACAAAAATGAAAAACCAAAAATAAGGATACATGTCCACACAGATGACTAATGTTTAACACACAAAGGACCTTCAGCTTGGTCATCTGTTTCCTCTTATAAGGTTACTTTTTCCAGCATTACAGGCTACAAGGAAAACATAAAAGAAGACTGTCAAGATAATGGAAAATCATGACTATGCTAGGACAGCATTTTGTTCACCCTATAGCTGATCCCAATGGGCCAGACAAATGAAAAACACAAATAGTATTTTGATACGCACCTCGGACATCAAGATAGCTCCTTGCATAACTAGCTGCTAGAACAATAGTTGTTCACTCATCAGGACCACGCTGTCTAATCACCTTGTTTAGGCAATTTTAGGCTCTACTAACTCCATACCATTTAGGTATACAGAAACACAGGGCAAAGTAGCATACCTTTAAAAATTAATATAATTGAGCTCCTATTTCTAGTGAAAAGTACATGCCAGTTTAGCAATTTAATCTGTGGTGAATTAGGTATTATCTCTTGCTGCAAATCTTGATTTTTATGCTTTTTTTCATGTGCTTCTCTTCAGTTTTCAGCAAGCATCTGTTCATCTGAAGGACAGTTCAGGCTTTACTATTCATAGTAACATAACTCCATCCTTGGACATAAGAAAGATTCTGTTCTCCTGAGAAGAAACCAGAGCCCATTGATGCCAATAGCAACAAGCTCACACCAGTATCACAAATGGAATGCAGTCTCACTAATCCTGTAAGCCATCAAGATGATGTATGTTGTGAGATGCCATTGAAATATCCCTGATTTTGGGAAGGAAAAAATTTGCTATAAACTACTTTGTATAGTTTGGCTCATCCAAGAAAAAATGGAATGTCATCATGCATATAAACACAGCTCTACTTTTGCAGGTTTTCTCCCTGGCTTCTATAAACCTTTTCTTCCTGTGAAGCCTATTTTTTCGTGGGGCTGCAGATACAAAATAATTTACTTAAGCCACAAGTAAGCAACACCTGTGGGAAACTGTCATTAACAGTATTCATTAACTGTCATGAAAACAGGTACTTTAATAAAATTGAAAAAAAAAAAATCCAGTAAATGAAACAGAGATTGATATTTGGATTCTTGTGTGACTATACCTGTTTTTCTCGACCATCTGAAACACCTAATAAACTCTTGTACATTTGTCCAAATAAGGTTCCTTTTCCACTCTCTTCTTAAGAAATCCTGGTTTTGCCTGTTAAAAATCCATTTTTATTTTTTATTCCATAGCACACATGTTCTCTGTTGCACATCCCAAACGTATTCCTTCTTTTCAGGTAGATTCAAAAGCTATTACAAACTATTGATACAGATATTGTAGGAAATGAGAAGCATGTAAAAGCAAAGAATTTTGCTCTGCTGAAAGCTCTGTATTATTGCATAGTATCAGACCATGCCAAATGTTCAACACCACCACAATTAAAACATTCATATTGCTATCCACTGCTTGGAGCAGAGCAGTGTGAAAATGCTTACTGTAAACAGCATCACAGTTTCCAACAGGTACCTCACCTTGATGAGTTCTTCCTTCAGCACAAAAAAGTCATAAAGAGACATTTGCTCACTCAAGAAAAGTAATTTAACATGACTAATGTTCAGATTGACCTACCACTAATTTAGAAACTGAATGCCCATTGGGCAACTACTGTAGAAAACTCTGGAGACAACTGGCATCGCCATGTACTTTGTAGTTGCCACACATTCTTCAAAACTCCAATTACTCCTGTAAACACAAATAGTTGCAGAAAAAGTATTCCATCATTATCTGTGGGAAAACTCAGGCTAAAGGTAAGAATTCACTCTTACTTGCTCATTTTTGTGCATTTTAAGTAAGTGGGTAGTGTTCCATGTGTTCACATGAAAAAAGCCTCAAGTATTTAGATATTTTAGATAGCTAAGTTTCATGAATAATAAAATATTTTTGGATCCTTTTTTTGCTCCAATACCTATTGTTTGCAATCCAGTTTGCCATGTCCTGAAGCTATGTTCACAAGTTTTCAAACTTCAGATTATTTAAACAGAAACATGGCAGAATTCACATATGTGTATAACTCCTAAAGATGCAGTAAATATCTCATTAGGAGCTATCTTCCATTGTGTTTGTGTGAACAGGTGATTTAAAATTAGAGGGGAAATGGAGCACAGGAGAATGCTTATTTTCATTTTAAAGTGGCATAACCACGATTCTATTTTCAAATGGTTCCACACTGCAACTTTGGGGAAATTTTAAACTGAATATAAAGTCAATGAAGATGTCGTATGTAGACACATGAACTGTTCTTAAGTATTTCTTCTGACAGCAAGTTTCTTATGAATGGCAATCAACACACTTCTATTATCAATGCAACAGTGAAGTATCCATTCACTAACATCATGTCTACCTCCCACTTTCTGGTCAACGCATAATGAGCAGTTGGGTTTCTTTAAACCCAATGTCAAATGCCTGGTTACAGAATCCTTGCATAATATTTAAAGGTAATTCTAAAGTCTTTTTAAAAAATGATCAGCAGGTTAGAATACATTTTTAATAAGCAGATTGAGGCCCAAAGTATTCTGATGAACTTTTATTAAAAATAATCTTCCTACAGTAGTATGCAATTCTTTGGCAAAGTCAGGCCAACTCCTGTTGCACAGCCATCTTCAGTAACATAGTGAATTTGATCTTCTCTGTTCCTCTGGTGATCAGCACTGGTGGCTGATAACTGCTCTGCTTATGAACACAAATGCTGTTTTGACCACGAATGCAATTTCCAAGCAGCCAAGACACAGCTTTACTGAAAAGGAAATCACCTTTCCTTGAACAAAGCCAGCTTTTTCTGAACTTTTACAGATGGATATAATTCCATGCACAGTCATTCGATCCAGAAACTTCTCAGTATGAGAACCAAAAGTTGCTTAACGACACATTACAAGTTGATTTGTGATGCTTTGCATGCAGTTTGCTTTTTAGGACTTTGGGGGCTGCTTCCCCTTCTAAAGGCAATGCGTTCAAGATGCAGGATGTCTGGTTCCAGTGCTGCCTCTATCTGCTGGATGTCATTATGCACTGAAGATTTATGTTCAGCTTCAAATCAAGTGCAAGTTTCACACTCTAAGCAGGGATGCCAACAAACATATTGTTCTTTGGAGAACAACTCTCTGGCTCCATAGATATAACTTGGACAGAGTAGTTATGCTCTTCTGCAGCCCATGCCCGATCCAGATCCACAAGTCCCATACACTGCTTTCCTAAAATTAGAGCAAGGGAGAGCACAGAAACTCAATATGTAGAAACTTTATCAGAAATGTGCATGCAAATAATCAATGTTAAGAAAACACATCAGTAAGCCATCTGAAAAATAAGTTCCAAACCTATTTTAAAAAACATTCTAATCTGGTTTATGTTCCAAATCACATCTGTGACTTGTAACCCTCATTTAGCAAAGACCTTGAGGAGGTTATTAACTCTTTGTATATGGAGAAAGGCACAACTATTTAAAAGTATTCTCAAAACTTCCAGAAAAAAACATGCTTTAATGTAAATGGGAAGAAGAAATATGCCTGGTTTACCCCTTAGCTCTCTGAAATCTCACTCCCTTTATAATCATAACTGTTTTCCTCCGGTACTTTCACCTAAAATCTGAAAATCTCTGATTTTGAACATAAATAATAGACTAAAATACCAAAAAAGTGATCCAGCGCAACTGATTTGAGACATATTTTAACTATTTATAAACAAACATACTAAATTGATAATGCAAAATAAGCTTATTTCAGATTTGCCTGCTGAAAAAAAAACAGGAAGGATAGAAGGTTTTTTTCTGCTTAGAAGATTTTTATGATGACACAGCCATGACAAGATGATGGGACCATTTGTCTTTACTTATTTACTCATTATAATTGATTATTATGCTCTGAAATACCAAATTGACTTGTCAGATTGTATTTTTGGCAGCTTGAAACTCTGTTGCAACAAAAATCTAATGCTACTTTGAAATGTTTTGTCACTAACAGTTACAGTCCCAAGTCAACAGGGCACAATGCTCAAACACAATGATCCTACCTCTTCCTTTGTTCCTTGACATAATTGTATAGTTAAATGTGTTTGGGGTGTGAGATGAAGAGACAGGAGCACATTCTGTTTACCTTTGGAATTGGAGTCTGATATTCCAAACTACCCTCTGGAACAGCTTAAATCTCTTCCCTGAACATACAAAGAGCTTTTGTGCCTGTATCATTACCAGCCCTGTTATGCACCCTGGTCAGGTGCCTGTAGAAGTTTTGGGCAGGTGGCATCAACACACCCTGCAGCATCCTTGTATTTCAGAGCAGATGATGCACATCACAATTTAATGCAAGGTTCAGTCCTATCTACTCTGTCTGCCCACAGTGAGCCCACAGCCAGAACGATCTTCTCCTCAACTGGATTCCTTAGTAAAAAAAGTATTTCACTACTCTGAATTCACCAACATTATGACATTTGGACTCAGTTATGTTGGTGGCTTGAGATTTGAGATGGGTAGTAATTGGGTTGAATACAATTTAAAGATATGATAATAACGGAGGACCTGAAAAGATCTTACCAACTCAGTCCTGTATGATCTGTATGTTGCAGGGAGAAATTATCAGTTTATATAACCAACCAGGACAGAACTCTGCAAATTACCTTTTGTAGCCCTATCCTCCCATATTTGTGGTTTCACAGAAAATCACCTTCTGTGCCTGGTTGAACAAAATGGCCACTCTCTCCAATATTATTACAGGTGTACAAGCTCTCAGGGCAAAACACTTAAAAGTTACATTTTTGGAAATAAATCCCTGCAGTTTCAGACAATGAGAACAAAAAAAAATTTGGGGTCCTATTTCAATTTTCAGTCCACAGCATTGGGTCCAACACTAGTGAGTGAATACTGACTTTTTAAATACTTTTTTTTCAAATATTGTGATGATGACAAAAGAAACTGACAAATTTATTGTCAGCCTTTATACAGGATCTCTATTATTTTCTTTTTGTGCAGCAAGTATAAGAAACACTTTCAATTCTTCAAATTAAGCTTTTTAAAAACATCATGCTTATTAGCTAGTGCTGCTTTAATATACTTCATAAATGTTTCTTCTAAGCCAGAAAAGCAGAGTTATGTCCTTAGAACTCCTAGCCCCTTCTGTCTTTTCTGACCTGGAAGCTAGTTTACAGCTTCCATCAGAACAGTAATACCAGACAGTAAAATGCAAACTCTCTCTTTAATATTGATGGTTTTGGGAGAATAAAAACATTTCTACAGCAAGAAGAGAACAGCAAGAAGTGAAATGTGACAAAACTTAAATTTTTCAACTGTTATCTGAAGACATCTACTTAATGGCCTATTCATGGATCAAGGTAAAACCATTACAGGGATGGTTTAAACAAGAGCTGCAGAAATTCGTACCGATTAGCCTGCGTTCAGGTGGAAGCTGAACAGCTGTCTGATCTGCAAATCTGCAAAGAATCATGTGCTCCTATAAAAAAGACCAAAAAAATTAATCAAGAAAAATCTGATTAAATGCTTAAAAGTATCAGAAATGCTATCACATTGAAGACAGTATTTCTAAAAAAATCCACCTGTGTGGAAATCCGAGCTTTACACTGCAAATATATGTGTAAGTCAAGTGCTTGTAATCACTGCCTCATTTCTCCTCATGTGTATTTGTTTCTTGCTGGACTTCCTAATTCTTTGCAGCAGAATGGGATGCAATGTATACAAGACAGCGTTCTTCAAAGACATTCTGCAGACTAATTTCTTCTTCAATAACTGATGAGCAACACAGCCATCTTTTAGCACAGTCGTAATAGGGCAGCTTCCCTGCATCAATAACCAGCCAAGACAAAATTCTTTTAACAGTTGATTTGAACATTTCTCCCAAGAAGTGATTTTGAATCCCAGGATAGGCTTGTGGGTGAAACTTCCTCTGCCCTACCAAATCCATTTAGATCCATTTGGAAGGCAAAAAGTACCTGGTTGTGAATAGGAAAGTTTCCTCCATCAAAAGGAGCACAATTTACTTTCAAACTACCCCTTTTCCATTAAAATTTTCTGCAGAGACTTCTACAGAAGAATTTCTCCCTACCCAGGGGGATGGTGGAGGAAAAGGTGCTGTTTAGAGGAGCAGCAGAGCTGCATCCTCACTTGCCTTCAATGCCCACCACCCTTGCCAGCACAATGGCTCCTCAAAGACCAGCCAAGCCAAGGAAAGCAGGTTAGCCAGGTGGTGAGAGCAGGAGCCTTGCAGGTGTGGCAGTAGAATTACTGCTCTGATGACAGCTGTGCTTTGTGTGACAGCTGCAATACTCAGTACAGGGCAGAGTAAATCAGAACCATCTTAGAATCACATAACATTCCAAGTCTCCCACAGTGTCATGGGGAGAAAACAGAAAGGGGGAACAACACAAAGTGCTCTCCTAAGCAAAGCTTCCAGAGCTATAGTTCTGAAACAAGGACATGTGCCATGCATCAAAAAGATTTTTTTTATTATTCTTGCCTGATATAAAATTATGATTTTAAAGATTTGATTCTTGTAACAGGTGGAGAGAGCAACTTCACCAAAGGATACTTCAGGTTCTTTCAGTATTCTGAAGTAAGGATACTTACTCCAACTTTTTTTAGAGGGCCATAAACATCCAAGTCTTCACTCCACAAAAAAATTCATATTAAATCAAGATGGTAATTCCTCCAGTACACACCATCCAATTCATAAATAGACACCTGACTGCAAAAAATTTCCCATGTATTATAAAATAAAATATTATCACTGCTTGATACACAAATATTATTCATTTAAATATATTTATAATACCTTGATGCAAGGATATTTGTCCCCTAGTATAGCTCATCTATATGAAGGTTTCCAGCTCACAGCTTCATAAAAAATACAGAAGTAAAGAACTTGTCATAACACATTTAGGCCTTAAACATGTTACACCCAGTCAGTTCAGTTCAAATGTGGCTATTCTTGTAGCACAAAAGAGTTGAAAGTATTAAACCCAGACATGACTACTGAAGAGGGAAAAGGGGTGCCATGGACAACGTGGCCACTGCTAGGAGAGAAGCAGCAGTGACAGGCAGCTTGAGAAGAAAAAGAGGGATTTAGTGGAGAGGGAGAAGATTCAGGTGAGCACACAACTCTTCATTAGCCTTCAGGCACCAATACAACTTGGCTCTTTGCAACAGTAAATTCCCAGCTCTTTGGACCAGACCAGAGCCAAAGTTAACCTGAAAATCTGGACTGACTCCAGTCCTTAGCTTCTTACAGAGTGATCCAAAAATATAAACTAGAGCCTGTTATGACTACATTGTTTCCCCTTGACACAGTGATTAAACTGTCATATTCCCTGTTGGCTGAAATAAGAAAAGCATTTCTAAAATAATGATTATAAATTTCCCAAAGGGTGCATAAACAGTTAACTTGTTTACTAGAACACCCACATGCTCAATTCCCATTAAATTTCCAAAGCTGTATTTGCAAATTTATACAGTTCTACTTTCCAATTCTCCTTGTGTCTTGACAGAGTCTCAAAATGTATCATAGTAGAAATCTACATCTATCATAACCTTATTCCTTGCAACTATAAACTACTGAATTACAGCATAATGTTCTCATCAAAAAAGTTTTGGAAATGCCAGACTTCTGGATGTCTTTTTAGATCTCACTAAAATGAAAGATAAGAGAAATTAATTTAAAATGGGAACTGGAGTGGTTGACACAGACAATGTCTGGCTAACACATGGCAACTTTGGCTGCTGGCCAATAACCTGTAAGAATTTATTAATATGAAATATAAAAACACATACAGCTAGCTGCATAACAGAAGTTATTTATAACTAGGATTATCTGAGGCACCAACCAGCCTAGACCAATTGTATAGACTCTTACGTTTCTAAGAGAGAAGTATTTTTTAGCCCTGTCTTTGACTCCTGTGCCCTTCTGCAACTCAAATGATAAAATTCTGGAGCTTCTATAGTATTGACAAACCCTGTGATTTGAATCTCCATGGATTAACAGAGTAAGAAAAAATTCACTGAGCTGCAATGAGATTATACAGTATCCTAAACTAGGCATCCTTGACTTTATAATTGACACCATCTCTCTGTACTGTCAGCAGGTTTAATAATGCTAGTAAATAAATTCTTCCTGAACTGAAACCTGAGTTCTTTGAGATTATGTCTTAGAGACATTGAAAGGAACATTAATAGTGAGAAAAAATAATAGCAGCTCCAAATCAATCATGTGGCTTTTGGCATCTCAATCATTGGGCATTTATTACCTGATAAGTGAACTTCCCTTATAAGATGGCTGGAGATTTTCTGAATTTTTAAAACTCCCTCTAATTTAGGCATTAAAAAGGATAATCTCTATTTTCCTGCCACATACATTATCTTTGCACTGCCCACTGTCCCCAAAAGCATTTGGATATTAGAAATACTCTCCTTCATTTCCATACTTTTGTTACAAAGAATTTTTCTGCACCTCCAAAAATCACTTCTATGTTGTAAAAGCCAAGAGTCCTGTCCAGGATTTGAGCTGTAAATTTAGTAAAGTGTCTATATAACCCTGCTTCTCTCAAAAGGAAACATGTTCTTTCCATGCCACATTAAGTGCCTCTGACCTTCAAATTTTGGGTTGCTCACCACTAACTAATTTAAACTCACAGGACAAAACTTAACACATCAGTACCAGTTTTCTGCTGTCCACCTCTCTGCTCTTGTCCTTTCCCACACTCCTGTTACCCTTCACTCTGTCAGATCTGTATGTTTCAGTGATAATTTCTCCCACATTACTCTCAGATTATCTCCACAGACCCCAGCTGCTCAGGGTCAAAACACACTTGAATATTTTAAAAATAATTTTGAACAACATTTTTAGAACTGTATAAAATATAAATACTGTATCAAAATCTTGCTGATCTGTTTAAGCTCTTCCTACTTGGTATGTCCAATGTTTTAGACATAAATTAGAAGGAGGAATCTAATGTTTATTACAACAGTTGTATTTCACAGCTAAACAAATTGGTATCCTGTAATTTTTAACTGATTCATGTTGAGGTACCTGAGGAATGGCTCACTTATGACATTATGACAAAAAATGCTGGCTTTTTTTTGCAGAGAAACAATTTAATTTTATTGAAGAAAAAAGCCCTTAAAATGGATAGTGGAGAGAAAACACAATGACACCTGCACCAATAATGAACATTTCACATAAAACATGCCCCTCTCACAATTTGAAGATAACCACCTATATTTCATTTGATAAGAAGACACAGTGAAATGCAGGAAACTGCACATAAACACCTTCCCTCTGTCCTTTTACATACCTTGTAGGACAAAATTTCTTTGAACTGATGACTGAAAAAAAAAATAGATAATTCAATTAACATCTAAAAACAGCAAAGGTGGAAAACAGAAGGAATCATTACATACTTGAACACATTTTAAAGAAAACAGCAATATCTGCATCTTACAGAAAGGCATTAAAAATATCAAAACCCATTACAGTCCCACTAGAAAACAGTTCACTAGAAAAGTGTATTTAGTGACGGGTTTTTTCCTAGTATTAATAGAAATTCTCTCTTTCAATCATTAGAAATGCTAAGACATACTTACTGGTTTTCTCACCATCATACAAACACTTTATATATATTTAATAATACACACATATATTTTGTTTGTATCACAAAGCTAGAGTCTCAATGAAGCTGAGTATAGAACACAGCCACTATGGTGATATGGCCAGGCTATCATGTTTTATAATCATATAACATAAGAAAAAAAAGAAAAAGCAAACCCTAAAATGTAGCTCAAGTTCAGGTTGACAGCTTTTTTGCAGACTTACGAGATTCGAAATTTTAGCAAACACAAACATTGTTGCAGCATCTACAGCAACAAAAGTTTTCTAAGAGATAATTTCCAGTCTTTGTGGTCTAAAAATGTAGCTGGCCACAAGTTAAACATTAAACAGCCAATTTTAAAGCAAATCTATTGAGAAAAATTACATGCTTGTTAAACTTAGAAGGCTTGGAATTTTATTGTCTCTTCGTAAGACTTGTTTTATTGTGTCACAAGAGAAAACAAAAAGGACACACATGAACAGATGGAAATATCAAATTGAGTAAGAAAAAATAATTAAATGCAAAGGTTATCAAACTGACAAATTATAAATAATTTTATATTATAGAAAAGTATGAAAAATATTTCATATTAATGCATAATATCTTTTTAGATTTGTTGATTCCTTTTAAGACTGCATGTTTCAGTTTCTTATTTTAGCAAATATATACTTAAGTTATTGATGCAATTCCTAATAGAATTAAATCTAAGTCACCTTGGACATCCAAAATGCAAAGCTCAGTTTTATGAACAAAAACAAAAAGCCAACCAAAACACAACCTTTTTCCTCCACCTAGTTCCAACCCAGAAGGAGGTTTAACCTCTTATCTTCTGCCACTTTACACATATCTTTTACATTTTATTTATATCAAAGGCATTAAAATTCTTAAGCATAAGATATATTAGTATCTCCCACAAGGCAGATCTAAAGACAAAATATGTACACAATCCACTGAAAAAGTATTAAAAATATGAACTGAAATACAGGAGAGCTTATCTGCTTGGGAATAAATCAAAGGAGTTCTACAAGCAGTTAACTGCGGTATAAAGCAGACCCATTTCTTTACACTGACTGCTTACATCTTCCTCCAACAGTAAAATGTCAATTCCCCTTCATCGAGTAAATTTCACAAATTTGCTATTAACTTTGTGATTTTAAGGTAGAAGGTCTGCATATTAGATACTGTATCTACTATGTTCATTGTATAAAGCCTTCTGAACCATGTAAAGATAAATCCAGAAAAAAATAATCCAGAAATTACCAATCTGCCTGTGAGGATAGGCTGACAAACAGAAGGAAACAGTTTCATTGTCAGTGTGAATCAGCTTAGCCTAGTCACTCACAATGACCCTCAAACGATTAATTCTATACTCTTTTAGGATTTTATTCCCTCACTTAAATTGGTATTTTAGGGCTTATCTTGCAAGCTTTAGTTTACCTTCGTGGATATTTGAACTTGACTGTATTTTGAATGAAGCCATAGCAGCATGGGGAGACGACAAAGGCTGCCCGTGCCCTGAGGCAGTGCTCAATCACCATGTCTGTGGCCACCCCGCAGGCGTGCAGGGCCACCTACAGCAGGAAAAACAACCAAGGAAGCATGAAAATTCATCATTGGAACATTCTAAATACAATCCAGCATTTCTTTGGTTTACTGAGCTAATTAATGCATGAGGAAGATTTTGCAACTAACACTGTTATACCAAAGGCCTGGTCCTTAATTCTACAGTTTTTCATTCCTCTCCTTCATATCTATGTTAAGGAAAATTTAGGGTTTATTAATTTAACAAAGAATCAACACTGAAGAAGGGTCACTCACCAAAAACACTCAAAAGATAGGTGCACTTAATTGTGACATCAAATAAATTTAATACAAATCTCCAGAAAAATAGTACTGGAATACATAGTAACAGAAAAACTATGCAGTGATTTGTCAAAAGTTTTTGTCAAGCAAAAAGGACTTAGAAATACAAAGAACTATGTCAAAACTGGATTTTAACTAAGCAGTAGGAGAAGAAACAGATTTACCTGAAGGTCACATTTAAAGGAAAAAATTATGCACACACTTAGGTAATTTGATTTTCAAATATTTAGTAAAACCTATAGGAAACAAACACTGGAGCTGGGGAAGGCATCTAATACAACTTGCCCTCCTTTAATTTTTTTTTCCTCTCCTTATTCTTGTATATTTTTTCTTAGTGAGAAGCTCTTCAACTAAAACTAAAATAACATTTGATCACAACTACCTATGAACACTGATGTGTTTGGGCAACACACAGGTTGCACCCAAATTCTTCCTGCTCTCCTACAGAAAAGCAAGTTACTGAAGTACTCAATATGTTGCAAGGGAATGCAGGCAGCTCTCTCCTGTCTATACCTGGGATGCCAAATGCACTACTGAAATAGGGTATTACCTTCTCTGCCTCCTCCCAGCACCTCAAAGAGTGCCTCAAAGAGTACGCCTGGTGCATACTCAAACAAGGACATTTTTGAGGCACATTTTTGATTTTATGCAGCCATGTGGGTTTATAAAACTACATTGTTTGCTTTGCTTTGTGTTCACTGTACATTTAGAGAAGGGGTTTAGCTCAGATTTCAGGGTTCAAAGCTGTTTGTCAAGGTAGAGCAACTGGAAGATAAAAACTTTGCTCTCAGATACAGATTAAAACAAAGTCTTTTTTGTTTCCAGTCTGCTTGCTGTAAGCTCAGTCAAGGAGACCATTAATCATCAACTGAACTGTAATTGCATACAGCTGGAAACAAATATTCTAGTCTCAGGCACAACATTAAAAAAATTAACAAGAAAGTAATTTCACAACAAATTTTTCTGCTCATATAAATTTTACAGCAAAAATTAAAATTAAAAAAATAAAATTAGTTTAACATCAGAAATAGATTCTTAATATCACAGCTATCAGATTATCATGGAATGTCATTATAGTTACTTCCTCATCTATCCAAGTAGAAAACAGCTCTCTGCTTTGCTTGCAGAAAAAGAAGCCTTAAAACAGCAGCAGATAAACCAGTAACTTTGCTGAGCCTGTATGACCTGTTACACCAACTGATTTCTTCTTTGGCTTTCTGAGAACCCACTTAGTTAAGAAAAAAAACCCAAATAAAATTACAAACAAAGCTTCCTCAGGGTACCCTATATATTGAATTCACTGTCTGAAACAAAATAAAATGTGAAGACTAATTCAGATATTTGGAAATGAATGTCTGGAAAAGAAGAATTTCCAAGTAAACTCTTCTGGCATATACTTTGAGATCTCCCTTGTAACAGAACTTGAAAAGAGAATGCTTTTTTTGTTAAATAAAAACTCCACAGGGTTAACATCGTATTAATCCTTAATACAGAAATTAAGACAGGAATTCTAATGACCTCAAAATTGGAGACTCATTTCATAAAACAACTATTAAACATTTCACACACACAATTCAGAGTATTATTCATGAGATCCTGATATTTTGAAATAGCTCTCTAGTTCACCCACTGAGATTTATATGACAATGTAACACAGAAAATAAAGCTTGAGAACTGGAAATTTACACTTGGAAGGACTGGGCTAAAAACATTTATTCTCTCCTCTTTCTCCTGCACTAAATTTCTTTTCCTTTCTTAAATAAACCAACCAACCAGTTAAACAGTACCGCTCATGTACCAAAAACCTTCAGCATGACCCACTCTCAGCTACAGTCAAAACAGGCTTTTAGATAGATGATTTAAAGAAGAGTCAATCTTGCATGGAGAGCTCGTACCTTGCCACAGAGGTTCATATTCTATTAACAGCATAAAAAACTAGATGACAGGAATATTTACAGAGCTACAAAATAGTATTTATGCCCTATTCTTCACTAGGGCTGAAAAATTCTAGACAGGACATTAATCTCATTTACTTTCAGAGTCTGTAAAGACATACAGGATTTTATCCTCTTACATGCATCAGTTGCTTTAAGAATAACTAATCAGACACTGAAGTTTTGAAGTGGAAAAGTTATAATCACTTACCCCAATGTTAAAAGTCCCATTAAAATAGTCCAAATTTGCTTGAATGAACCAAATGTTGTTTAAACCTAGTTCATCACTTCTGTCTTTAGCACGGATCAGAGACAACTCCTTATTTTCTATAAGTACCACCTAGATTTTACACATAAGACAAAGTAAGGCAAAATAATACTGAGAAATCAAAGTACAACATTACCAAGCAGAAAACTTTGTAGTTTGTTGAGAAAACCTCTGAATCACTAGTGGCAGAGTCTGAGATGTACAAAATGGTTAGCTGGACACCCAGGAACAATCGAAGGCATTTAATACCTGCCACTATTAATCAGCTTGAAAATATTTTATATTTTCATACAACTTTTGTCTTTTCTGGAAAGCACCACACACATTTGGGGATTATGCTAAAAATTTTGCATGTTTTAAACCTAAATCCTCTGCTGAGACACCTGCGACTTCTGTGTGTCTTCCCTACATACACATCTTTTTAAGACGATTACCAGACATCTTTTTATTGAGAATTTACCTGACATGATGGCATCATGTAAGCAAGAACAATTCCAACATGGCCCTGTGAAAACAAAAAGCAAAATCTGAGTCACTTTTCAGTGTTCCCTGTTTTTCACTCATTATGTTGATGGGCATCCCCATATCAAAGAACCTTTGGAAGCAGCTGAAATTTCAGCATTTGCACTTCTGCTTTGCTTTGTGGCAACAACCACCTAGAACTGTGAAGATGAAAGCTGAAAGAAATTGAACCACAAACAAAAATATACATTACCCCTCCACTGCAAAAATCCACAATCAAATCTCCAGGTTTCGCGAGCTTTGTCACTGCTGCTACCAAATTATTCAGCTGCTGCTGCTTCCTGAGAGCCCGGTCTCTAGACATCTTTCCTGGGGATGACAGAGAAAATGCCTAAGTAGTGATCAGCAGTTATCAACCCTGACAATTTTATATGGGTAACTGCAAAGCACTGCAAATGCAATTTATAGCTGAGATTAGAAATTACTGGAACACTTGGGCATCTTAATCCACTTCAAGCTAAATTCATATTTAACATATTAAATATTTGGTAGAACCTTCTCCAAAAATAACTTTCTAGTTGTTGCTGTTAATGTATCCTTAGGAACAAACTCATATAAACTTAATGTAAAGCAATCATACTCATGTAAACTCTGGCCTAATTCTCCTCCAGTGCTGTCATTCATTCATTCCCAGAGAGAATCCAAACACATTCACAGTAAGGTTGCCAAAATAAATCCTCATTTACTGTATCTATATACACTATCCTTAAGCATTTTTGTTTTAAAACTTGTACCCTTTCTACTGTTGATTTTTAGTTTTCATACTAATCCGCCCCTATTTATTCAAATGACTGCTAGTGCAAGGAGGTACTTCTCAAAGTGACTATTTCTACATAGCAAAGACTGGCTTTCAATCATATCTGTAACAACTAGAACTTGAAAAACTGTTAATTTCTTTCAAATGTGCTTGGTAAAGTCCAACACGGAGTAGCTTCAGATATCATGAATTTGTTGAGTCAGCACTTACGTATTTGTAAGGCTGTGTTTTGTCTCAGTGGGGCTGAGTGCTGACAGACCTATTAAATACTCCTTTTGCTTGTTCAGAAAGCAGAGTTTTACATAGATACTGGCAGCTCATCTTCACAGTAAGAAAAAGTACGGAAACAACTCTTTAGTATTAAGTACAACTCCTGAAAATACCATCAATTTGCACGAAATTAGCAAATAGATTTTAGTATCCCTAAAAATCAAACAGTAATATAGTAACAAGTTTCATCAGCAAAAACAGATCCACTACTTAGTACTCAGTTAGTCAACCTCGTGAGCATTAAATTAATAAGAAATACAATTTTTTAAGAATTAGTCTGCAGTCTTCAAAAACTCTAGCAATTAACTGTTCATGGTCACCAGCCAACAAGGTTCATCCTCCTTTACCGTGAAGGCAATACGTGGCAAATACTACCTTGAAAGATGGATAAAATCAAAGTTGAATCAATAGGTCTTTTGCCTGCTCTACCTCCGTATTTTGAGCTTGGTAGCCAGAATTAGAGAAACACAGCAAGCTGTGATATGGCCTACAGAGAATGTTAGTTAGCACGGCTAACTAGTCCTTCATTACAGTAAACAGGCAGTAAATTAAACTAAAACTTCTGCATCTAAAAATACTACAGCTCACAAGCTCTGTGATAGAAAACAATGTTGATTGCTGTCTTCAAGAACAGTAAGAAAAAAAGTAGGTTGAAATTTAGCCCTGCAAGGCAAAACCTTGAAGAACTTGACATTTTTATACAATACACTGAAAGACCCTCATAAAATGATTTCCTCTCTTCATGAGAACCCAACTAACAGATTGTCATACAGTCCCAGAAAAATTAGTTCTCAACAAATTGAAACAACAAAAATATTTTATTTGGCTTCACACATCCAATATTACTGTTAATACAGCCCATATCAAGCAGAACTTTAAAGTTTCTGTGGCATCCAGAGGTCTTGCACTTTGGCACAAATAAATATTAACTTTTCAGAAGGCAAAGCCCCTTTTATTTTTGTATTACCTTGGTCAGCATTCAAGTTCATATAATCCTTTAGTCCCCAAATAATCCTTCCATATTTCTCAAGTTAAACTTGAAAAGTCACTAAAGCACACTTTAAAAACCCAAATCCCATGTATCACCTCTAAGAATTTAACACTATTCAACTTTCAAGTCCTATCACAGTACATCTGAACACGCAGCCACCAACACGTACATCTAACACACAGTACATGCACTCTCCTGTTACATACAGTAGAACTGCATACTTCTATTGTTTTAGCACAAGTATCTTTTCTATTTTCCATAAGCCACAGTTAACTAATTCAAATTGTAACATGATTCTACTTTCCATGGAAATTCAGGGGAAATGTATTCATTGCTATATCAAGTACAGCAAAAAAGGCTCACTAACTACAAAACAACAGATACAGTTTTACTGTTTCATACTAAGCTGAACAGGTTTTTCTGAAACCAACGGGTTTTTTTAATGGTAGTACCTTATGATAATTCAGGACATTCTAATTATTTTCTAACACCCATAATATCTTCTGCTAAATTCTTTTTGACACCTGTTGGCAGGTAGAGGGTGATATTTGCTTCTTTGTTGTGTGAGTTGTTCTACTTTTGTGTTATGGACTGGTTTTTTACATTTACAGAGCGTATTAGTTACATTAATCCAACAGTACAGTGGTTCCTGTGCAAGTACTAGGAAAAGCAGAATTCAAAAAGATGTAAGGAATCCAGCTCAGCTGACACATACTTAATGAAGAAATACTCTCAACAGCCAAAAATAATACCACCTTCTTCCAACTAACTCTGCCAAATCTTGCAATAAATACAATTTGGAAAGACAGTAACTTTGCTGAGGTCCATTGGTCACCTTGGTACTTGAACAATGCTCTTCTCCAACTTCAGCTGCTTTTATTAAATCTGTGTGGGCCAGTGCTGAAAGCTGAAGATCTGCCCTCTGTTTCTCCAGCCTGGGACCACCTTCCAGCTGTCCCCTTTCACTGCACTGCCCTTTCTCCCTTCCCCTCCCCTCCAGAGCAGCTTTTGCTTTCAGCAACATCTGTTTCCTACTTGTTGCATCACCACACCAAAGGAGAGAGTGGATGTATCAGGAGATGGGCCAGCCAGTCTCAGCATCATCTCCAAGTATGCCTTGGCAAAGACACAGTGGAATCACAGTTTGAAATACACACCACATCAAAAAGCAAAGAGGCATTTGCAAGAGGCAAATGTGTCTCATTTTCTCCTCTATCTTTTATAATAGTGGAGGGATGCAACTTTGAGTGGGCAAAAAGGATGATTCTATTTTTTGAGCACTACTTGAATTCAATACAGCAAATAGCGTGTCTACGGCTTGTTCATTTGGGCATAAGTCAAAGTAGGGGACCCAGCAAGTGAGGCTGTTGAGAGAGAAGTCAGACCACATCCTGTATTGGGACCTGAATACCTCCTCATTGATATAAATCTGTCCATTTAAAAGCAAAAAGTTACATTCCTATGGTTTCAGCTTTGGGAATAAAGCAGACTTTCACTCCAGAGTAGCTATAAAACAATTGCCACCACAGAATGTCCCCAATGAATTCCTCAATGCAATGTAGATTGTAGAATGACACTGACCTCGGCTCTCGATTTGTCAGGCTCAGTATAAATTGTTTTCCTTACGTTCAACTCCTTCATAGTTGTGAAATAACTCAGTCTGGCTGTTTGAGTGATACTGGGCTAAAAAGTATCTGTTGCAGGAAGTCTGCCTCTTAGTTACAACGAATATACTTCTTTACTATGTGTGTTAAGCCTAAAGGTCAGACTTTGAGCTCTGACGTGAACACAGAATTCAAAGGCTGGCCTGTAACAGTGCCATTTTAAAGAACCTGTTGAATTTGATCATTAAAGTATTTCTTATAACGTGGGATACCAAATCTGCTGGAATTCACAAAGAAAACATCATCAAATTATCAAAAAAGTTTCACTGCTTTTACATTTTCTGCTCCATCAGAACCCTTTAAAATCAAATGCAACTGACTTAGACAATAGGTGACCTTTCAGAAATCACTCTCATTGAAAAGTAAATGGAAACATTTAACTCTTAACAGCTTCATTAAATTTTAAAGTAGGTATTTAATCAGATTTTTCATTACGTTGAGATATTTCTGTGTCCCTACCTTCAGCAGTGTAAAAGTCTAATTCACATTTGGAAAGGCCAGGGAAAAGAATCATCAGAAAGAAAAAAAAACAAACCACTTTGAAGCATCACAAAGTATCAACTATCCTAGCAGCCAAAGCTCTATGCTGGACTTCTTATTTATTTAGAGAAAACTACAGCAAACCTTAATTTTTTTATTTTTCATTCTCTTGATCTTGTTGCTTTACCAAGACTTCAGTCCCAAGGTATAGCCAAAAGGAACTTGTAGGAGGAAAAGTATATGCTTTCTGGCTCTGCAGAGAATCTCACAGAGTTACAATGTGCTACGAGACCTGTGAATACCACCAGGAGAACTAAATGCTCACACCTTTTAAAAAGGCACATCCACAACAACTAGTGGTTGGTGTGGGTGGGGGTTTTTCACTGCTTGTTGAGCTAAGTCCCAGTGCTGCACTCCACATGTACACAGCTTACGTACAGTTCAGCTTCCTCACAAGCCTTCTCCAGGTTCTGTGATGAAAACAAAAAAGCCAAACAGTGCTTTTAGCACCAAACAGAATTATTTTGTACTTACAAAGAGAGATTGTAATAATTCTTGTAGGTTTTTTAATGCACATGGTCATGAGTGGAGCCCTCAGAGTACAACTCGCTTCTTCTCTCTAACCAGTATAAATTCCTTTGCAAAAACTATAAGATATGCTTTATTATATGTGTCACCAAGAGACAACATTTACCAACCTTTTATCTTTCCCCAAATTTATATTATAATATTAAAAGAATCACAAGGTACTAAAGGAAGCTTGCTCACCAAACAATCTCAAGAGAAAACTTAGTGTAAAGCAGAATAGCATCTATGGTAATTGCCTGCTTCCTGACTCCATTAACACAGATGACTCACAACTACCTATCTTTATTTAAGTTCTCAATGAAATAGAAGTCTATTATAACACAACTGAACTGACACATTTGTTTACAAAGGCTAAAACATTTATTCAATCAGATACAAGATCAGATAGCTTAGGGTTATTATTGACTCATTTGCTCTTTCTTTACATTTGAAAATTGCTGTTCTGATCTCTCTTATAACACAGTGGATATGAAAATGTCAATTTCCTCTTAAAACATTTTTTTGATTTAATTTCAGAAGTAATGGAAGTAATTGGGCCAAATTTTAAAGAACCCGAACC